TCTCGCTTTGTTGCCCGTGCTAGAGTGAGTGCCGTGGCGTCAGCCTAGCTCACAGCAACCTCAATCTCCTGGGCTAAAACGATCCTCCTGCCTCAGCCTCCCGAGTAGCTGGGACTACAGGCATGTGCCACCATGCCCGGCTAATTTTTTCTATATATATTTTTTTAGTTGGTCAATTAATTTCTTTCTATTTTTAGTAGAGACAGGGGTCTTGCTCAAACTGGTTTCAAACTCCTGACCTTGAGCAATCTGCCTGCCTCGGCCTCCCAGAGTGCTAGGATTACAGGCGTGAGCCACCGCGCCCGGCCCAATCCAGATTTTTTAAATGTATTTTTCTTCCTGATCGCAATGGCTATGATTTCCAGCTCAACGCTGATTAGAAGGGGTGAGAGCAGATATCCTGGTCTGGTTCCTGATTTCAGGGGAAATATTCAGCCTTTAGGTATGATGTCACCTGTCGGCTTTTCGTAAATGCCTTTGTCCCGAGGAGGAAATGCTCTTCTATTTTCAGTTTACTGAGAGTTTTTTTTTTTTTTAATCAGCAATGGATATTGGATTTTGTCAGTGATTTCTCTGCATTCCTCGAAATGATCACATGGTTCGTGTTCTCTCATCTGTTAAAAACGGCGAGTTACACGTGGATTCGCAATGTTAAGACAGGCTGGGATTCCTGGATAAACCCCATTCGGTCACAATTTTAATAGATTGGTGGATTCAATTGGGCAAAATTTTGTTTAGAATTTTTGCACCCGTGTCCGTGAGGGATGTTGGCCCACAGTTTTCTTTTCTTGTCCGTCTTCTCGTGGTTTGGGCATCGAAGGAACGCTGGCCTCCTGGAAAGGGCTGAACGTATTCCTTCCTTTTTAATTTTTTGGAAGAGTCTGTGTAAAATTGGCATCATTGCTCCCTTAAGTCTTTGGTAGAATTCCCTAGCGAAGCCACCTAGGCCTGGGGTTTCCTTTGTGGGAAGGTTTGGTTTGGTTTTAACTATAATTCGGTTCCTTTAATATAGGGGGCTGTCCAAGTTTATTTCCTTTTCTTTTTGAGACAGAGTCTCTCTCTGTCACCCTGGCTAGAGTGCCGTGCCGTCAGCCTAGCTCACAGCAACCTCAGACTCCTGGGGGCTCAAGCGATCCTCCTGCCTCAGCCTCCCGAGTAGCTGGGACTACAGGCATGTCCCACCACGCCCAGCTAAATTTTTCCTATATATTTTTAGTTGGCCTATTCATTTCTTTCTATTTTTAGTAGAGACAGGGTCTCGCTCTCGCTCAGGCTGGTTTCGAACTCCTGAGCTCAAACGATCCTCCCGCCTCGGCCTCCCAGAGTGCTGGGGTTATAGGCGTGAGCCACCGCGCCCGGCCTACTTTTTTTGCATTTAATTTGCTATTCTTTTCCTTTCCTAATTTCTGAAGGCTAAGAGAAGATCATTGATTCGAGACTGCCTTTCTAACGTAGGGGTCTAGCGCTGCGGGTTTTCCCTAAATGCTGCGTTAGCTGCACCCCACAGACGGTGAACTGCTCCTCCCGTGATCCGGCCTCCTCTCGGCACTCCTCCCCACCCGGTTCGGCCTCTGCCCCTCGGACTGGACTTTGGAGTCCACCCTGAGGCCACACCGTCCCGTCAAGGACGAGAAACCACACCAGCGTCTCAACAGAAGGGAGTCAATACAGCAACCAGCTTTGGGGGTGCAGGAGGGGGGAAGAGAAAGGCAAGCGTGGGCAGCAGGAAGTGGCTTCTGGCTGCAGGGCCGGGGGGCTGGAAGAGGTTGGGCTACCAGGACTCAGGAGCGGAGAGGATGGAGGGGCTCCTGAGGCGGGTTGGGAGCCAGAAGACGCGGGGCTGGGGTAAGGAAGGAGCTGGCAGAGGAAAGGGAATCTCTTCTCCCCACCTCCCACTGGTGCCTTCCAGGAAGTCTGGAAATATAGTTTGCAAAGTTCCAGCCACATGTATCAGTCAGCAATTGCTGCGTAACAAAGCACCCCGAAATCAAGTGGCTTAAAATAACGAGCATTTACAGCCATTAAAAATGTTTAAAAAAAAAAAACGAAAATAATGAGCATTAGATAAAGATGTGTGAGCGTGCCTGTGTGTGTGTGTGCACACGTGTGTGTTTGCGTGTGTTAGTGCATGTACACGTGTTGTCCTCTGAGCGGGCCGACCAGCAGTGTTGCCCCAGCAGTAGTAACCACACCTGATGCCCAGATCTCGGTTTCTAAATACCATTCTCCAACGAAAGGAGCTAGAACTCCTAACAGAAGTAGCTGCGTTTCTGGGAAAGGAAATTACAAGATAAACCTGGAGAATTCCGTGCTGCCATAAAACGGGGAAGTACTCGGAAGGCCCGGAGCCACGTCCAAAGCACACGGGAGCTTCCGATGGCCAAAGCCGGAACAATCTGAGCAACAAAATAAATACAGATAATAATGGATTACAGCCCAAAGAATAAAGCAAACATTTATGAATCCATAGGGATATAAATGATTGCAGCATAAATAAATGCTCCCTTTTATGGAAGAATTCCAACGAAGGCAAGAGCAACGAGGGAAATAGAAAAACCACCGTAGGGAGTCACGGCACAGGTGCGGTGGGCAGCGTCTACTGACAGAGACCCTAAGCTCAGCGGCTGCACTTGGAAGAGAAACGAGTTATTTGCAGAAGATCAAGGCACGATCCCCCAGGGCACTGATTAGCTGCAAAGTGGCAAATAGTGACTTTGTGTTCGAACCCTGAGCCCGGTGATGGAGGTCGATGTCCCTGGCAACGGGATGCGGAGACATCACACACCCTCCGAGAAACCACTAGCGAGGCGGGCCTCGGCTATTCCTGCAAACCGCGTAACCCCGGTTTCAATCGTAAGAAAACGTGCAACACACAAACGGGGGGACAGTCTACAAAGGCCTGAGCACGTGTAGGACAGGGAAGGGAGGAGCAGCTGTCGCACAGTGATGGGGTCATCAGCCGTGGGGGTGGGGCAGGAGGACACAACTCGGTGAAGGGGTCTAGCTCTCGTGGTCACTTGGTGTCCACGCCAGGCAAAGATCCAGATCGACTACAACGATCTGACCGCCCTGGCCGTCACCAAGCCCCGCGTCATGGTGGCCAGACGCTGGCCCGCAGCTATGGTGCGTGTGCGGGGCTGCATGGGGGCGGGCGGGCCGGGGCCCTTGGCTGGCTGGTGTTTGTTTCAATTATGTTTCATGTTGCTGTGCTTGCCTCCGCCGGCTGTGTGCGACTCTGTGGACGCAGGCTCTCAAGGATCAGCCACACGACTGTCCCGCTGGCCACCCAGTCCAGCACCCCGTCCCACGGCACAGCCGTTCCCGGGGACAGGCGGCCGTCGGGTCCTCACAGCTGCCGGACACGGGTCTGCTCTGTCCGCCCAGCAGCGCATGCCGGCACTTCCTCTGCGGACTCAACTTATCTCCCGCACTGCCACGCTGTGCGACAGCAACAGCCTCCCGCCAGAGCCGTGCAGGGGGGCTCCAACCCCCGCAGGCAGGGGAGTCCCCGCACCCCTGCAGGGGCAGCCGGTCTGACCTCACAGCCACTGGAAAGCCACGATGCAATGTGCTGCAGGAAACCACCATGAAGGGAAGGGGCTCCATCCCCCAGGAGGGGCTGACGCCTGGGGTCCCTGTCCCCTCCTGCTTCTCAGCCGGAGACTCCCAGGTCAGGGAACCGAGGTCGGAGGCCCAGCAGTGGCGGCGGCAGCTGCTCCCCCGGCTGTGCTCCCTGCCTCCCACAGCCTCGTCCTGGGTCAGAAGTCCCACCGGGTCACAGTCCTGGGGTGTGGCATCAGCAGGCAGGTGCCCCCAGGGGGTCTCTCGTGCCACTGAGTCGGCAGCAAGGAAGGGAAGTCCCTGCGCAGCTGGGGTGATGGGGACGGTCACCGGGGGAGGGGGCAGGCAGGGAGGACGCTGCGTGGGCACAGCAGCGCTGGCTGGGGCCCTGTGGACCCCGAGCAAGAACAAACACTCAGAAACTTACTTCTTCTGGCCAGGCGAGGTGGCTCACGCCTGCGATCCCAGCTCTCTGGGAGGCCCGAGCGGGCCGATCGCTCGCGAGGTCAGAGAGTCTTGCAAAAACCCAAGCCTGAGCAAGGCGAGACCGGGGTCGTCTCTACCTAAAAAAATAGAAAGGAACTTAATTGCGCCAACAAAAAATACATATGAAAAAGTAGCCCGGGCCAATGCGTGCGCATGCCTGTAGTCCCAGCTACTCGGTGAGCCTGAGGTCAGGAGATCGCTCAAGCCCACGCGAGTTGGGGGTTTCTGAACCGAGGCTGAGTGCCACGGCACTGCAGCCGGACTTGCACGGGATGCGACTCCCTGTCTCAAAACAAAAAAAAACGGAAGACAAAAAAGGACCTGCTGCTTCTCTTTGCCGTGTGTGTGCCTGTGTGTGCACGTGGCACACCTGTTGCCGTGCTGGATTAGCTGCTCACCATGCATACGGCTCACTTGATTGCACTCTTCTCTGGTGAGAACAGCCAAAATCTGCTCTGCTTCGTCACTATCGCAAGGCGGCGACAATTCTCACTGCCTAGTGGACCCTCACCCATGGTGACCAGTGCCGGTCCCCCTGCTCCACGAGCTCAGCTCTACAGGGTCACACAGACCTGCGATGGTGGTCCGGTGACCCCACACTGAAACGAGTCACCCACTGTTGTCACGGATGATACATTTCTTCTCTTTGAGGTTGCCGGAGGCCTGAGCAGCCTCCAGACGCTGAGAGGAAATGGTCCGGGCAGAGGGCGCAGGCCGGGGCGGGGCTGCGAGGGCCGTGGGCAAACCTGTCTCCTGTGGCGCAGGTGGCATCAGGCGGGACGGAGAGGCTGGAGCTGCTTGTCGGTCCCGTGGGCCAGCTCCTGCGCTTCTGGGGTGACGCGGGCCCAGTCCACCCTGCCACAAGGTGGTGGCCGCCACAGCTCTAACCAGTGTGTGCAAATGGAAGGGCCTCCTGGAAACAAACATTCCAACTGGGAAGGGAGGCAGGCGAGGGGGAGAGAGTGAGGAGGGGGAGGAGGTGAGGGAGGGTGCAGATGAGGGACGGGCGAGGAGAGTGAGGGATGGCGGAAGAGGTGGATGGGAGGAAAGATGAAAGCGAGCGGCGAGGGAGAGGAGGAGGGGCAGGGGGAAGGGGGAGTGCATGTGGCCCGATTACAGGATGGGGGAAGACACTGAACATAAAATAACGAACACCAGACACAATGGACATGACAATGACTTGAGTGACCAATGCACCAGGTCCCCGCTTATTTATTACACCCCAGACCCAAGGTTACGTTCCTTGTACGTGACGCCCCATCTGAGCATGAGCGACGATACCAGTCAACGTTCCGGAGTTTATCAAAAGGGAACAACTTGCCCATACGGGCCTCAGACCTCAAAATGGTACCAAAAAGTTTAGGTGCCGGACAGAGCGCTCAAAGCCAAAGGCGAGACAGCCAACATAAAACAACGCAGTCATCTGAAGTGCTTCTTGGTCTCAATCCCAAGGCGGCGGCTCCTCCCTGGCCCTCACAGCTGTGCCCTGTCTTAGGTCCCCA